TATTCTATTCTATTCTATTCTATTCTATTCTATTCTATTCTATTCTATTCAGAACACCCCCCCACACACACACACAGATCAGTATTTACATTTTGATTCTAACCATCCACTGGAGCACAAAATGGGGGTGATCAGAACCCTGCACTACTGAGCTGAAGATTTGCCTACCAGCAAAAAGGAAAAAGAATTAAAATATATCAAGGAATCCCTCAGAACTTGTAGCTATCGCAACTGAACTTTCATCAAATCCAGGGAAAGATCCATCAGTAGCTCCTCCACAACAAACCAAGAAGAGAACAACAAATGAAGCAACATTGTCATTCCATACGCTGCAGAACTATCTGAAAAGCTCAGGAGGATTTTCAAGCAACACAACAAATGTATACACTTTAAACCTAAGGATACATTAAGGCAGAAGCTTGTCCACCCCAAGGGTAAAACATCCAGGCATAAACAGAGCAATTTGGTATATGTGGTGCAATGCAGTGACACATGTGTAGATCTGTATGCTGGGGAAACAAAACAATCACTTCACAAATACATGGAACATAGGAGAACAAACCTCTGCCCTCTTTTGTCAGATGGTACAATGTCTACTGCACCCTGGTATAAAAATGAATTTCTTAGAAAACTCAATAGCTTAGTTTGCAAACACTTAAACTTGACAGTTGTAATACTGTGGTGGAAGTGTCAAGTATTCTAATATAAATAACTACAAAAAGCCCAAAGTCTGTCAGCTTCTTCAGAACCTGTAATTAAGAACTTGAGCTTGAACAGGGAAAATGAACATTTTTGGCAGGATGCTTTATTCTCTGGAGAGATCAAGTCTCCAGGGAGAAAATGATGTGGCAATAGTTTTCCCATTGAGGATATAAACCTATTCAAATAAAAGAAGACTGCCTAAAGTATACAACTTATAATGACCTTTCAATTTGTTTCTTGTTTTTGTGCTCTATGTTGCTTTTCTATTCTACTATTCTCTATATATCATTTGGATAAAATAGTAGCGTAAAAATAAGTAAATATTAATAAAATAAACAATAGGTACAAATAGGAAGTAATAGCAGAAGTGGAACAACCAAATTTGTGACAAATTGCTATAAAACATAATTTACTGAGAGAAAATGTTTTCTTATTTTAAGTTTTTGGAGTGGGCATAAACGCTGAGACTTAATGCTACAAAAATATAACTCTTTTTAGGATTTAAAAGCCCAAGTGTGATTTATATTGTTTCCATAGCTGCTACATTATTACAACACTGAAATCTCACACAAACAACTCTTTATTCAGGTGGAAGTCACAGAGTCTTCAATTCATGACTTCTAAATTGAAGGTTATATTTTTGATCTCCTGTGATTAAGGTCCCTTTGAAGACCAAACAAATGCTTGTCATCAGAAAGGAATCAGGTCTAAATACTCAAAGACATGTCCATATTTTCAGTTGCAACTGCATGCTTTTTAAACATGTACTATCCATGAAATATAGAAGCCCTAAAGATGTTTTATAAAGGAAACTGACATATAAGAACAAATAGTATTCAGAGGCATCCATCGTATGCTCAAAGCTGGCAAACGTTGAAAGCGGAATACAACTTTTGCCTTTTTTGCATGTGTGTTGATAGGTTGTGTATATATGTTCAAAAAGGACAGTCTGTGTTGTAACGTCACAATGCTGCTTTGATTTGGACAAAAGAAATTATCTCCAATTCTGTAGATGTCTCTGGGAGCTACTAATAGAGTATCACATACAGAATTGTTGTAGAAGTAGAAGAAGGTAGGTTTCTTTCTTCTAACTAGATGGGAGCAGGCTGAAGAGAAAAAGCATCTGTAGAAATACTTGGTAAGGAAAGATAGAAAATGCTTCATTTTCCAT